GGACGACGACGCGCCGCTTGTTGCGCAGCTCGGAGAGCCGGCTGCTGCGCACGCCGCGGTAGGTGGCGCGCAGGTCGCCCATCGCATACTCGTTGTCAATCTTGGCCATGCGGGCGGAGCGGGCGGAGCGGTTGCGGACAAAGAGGGTGCCCGAGATGGCCGTGCCCGCGACGGCCGCCACGTTGACCGTGGCCGCGTCGGTGCCCTCAAAGAGCGTCGGCACGCAGAGGCTGAAGAGGATGCCGAGGAGGCAGAGCGCGATGCGGAGCGGCTCACTCTGGTTGGTGGCATCGTATTGGAGGATCGTGTCTCTGCGGAAGCTGCGGAGCGAGAGCACGTCGAACTGCGGCGCAGAGACATCGTACTGCCCGCCCTGCCGCGGCGTGGTGCCGTCGTCGTACTGCATTGAGACGGCACTGCAGCAGCGGCGGCTCCGCACCGGCGCGGTGCGGAGTGGCGGCTGCAGCGCGGTGCGGAGTGGCGGATTTGCGCTCCAGCGTGATGACGGAGCCACCACGAGCGCGGAAGCGGCCGCGATCGAGGCGAGCAGCAGCAGTGGCCTCATGAGATGAAAGCGCCAGAGGCCTCAGCTTCGCAAAAAAAAACCGCGGCGGCCTGCGACGGCCCGGGATGAGCTCCCCACGATGCGACTAAGCGAGATGAATTGACCTACTGGACCTATAGTCCACCCCTATCATGTCTATACTGACTGCAGACGACCACATGCCACACAGCATCACGCACAAGCACAAGACCCGGGATCGCAAAAAAGACCCGCGGTGCTCACACACACCCACGCGCTCGTGCATGCCGAACCAGCTCTAAAAAAATAAACCGCCTCGCCAAGGCGCACAATAGTCAGACTGACAGTGTTTTCCAGTTGTGGCATCCTCGGCAGCCAGAAATAAATGGGGACCGGCAGACGGTCACAGAGGGTACGGGGTTGAGAGCATTTTCCAGCGGCCCAGGATGACGCATCTGGAAAATGCTGTCAGTGTGACTATTGTGCGCCTTGGCAAAGCTGTTCCGAAGTTATTTTTTCCGAGCGCGGTGGACTTCATCTTGCCGGTCAACTGCCGGCGGTCGACAACTTGCCGTTCGAGCAGCGCGTGCCGCCCCGCATGCCGCGGCTCAGCTTCAGGTGAGTTCATCTTGCCGGCGGTACCCGACGCTGCTC